TTATCTTTTCCTTCTACATTTTTTAGTCCTCCCATTTTGAGTCGGTTCTTCTTCTGGCCTCACTAGCTTTTTACACAGTTGTGCTTTGTGCTTAGTAAATGAATGTAATGCTATAGAATAGCCAAAATCCAAACGACTGCTGCACAAGCCAAACATAAACAAGTTATATAACACTGCAACCACTCGTTTATTAAAGTAAGTGGAAATTATGAGACATGCATAATCTTTTGGACAACTGACAGGCAGGTGTGATCAAGAGAGTGGGGAATCCAGTGATTGTAGGCAGATACAGAGACAGGTTTGTCAGGGTGATTAGAAAGTGAAGTGGAATTGAGAAGAATGGAGCAGCATCGGGTGCTGCAGGATGAGGAGAGGTGGCAGTGACAGCTGTGCCAGGGCAGGGACAAAAGGATGACAAGGGCAGTGCGGGCATGAAGTACTGCTGGGTTCCCTTGGCCCTCAGCAGCCCCCAGCACATTTGGTATGGAAGGGAGAGGTAGCAGCAAGGGTTCTGGACATGTCTCCATGCTGTCTGACATTGCTGAGACTGAATTGCTCATCTTCATCCCACCACTGCACTGTGGTATGCATTACCAGTGAGCTGGGCCAATTTCAGTGGTGCTAAACCAAAGGCTAACCCATCTCTAGCCTTGCTTATAAACCCTATTTTGTGGCGTTTGCATAACTTCTTTTCTCAGCATTTGCATCATATTTTGGTCTGATCATCTTCCCTGAAGCTGGTGCTCTGTGTCTCTTTACCCACTGCTTTTTCCTATCGGCAGCAGCGCAGAGCCAGGCAGCCTGAAACACCGCAGGCATCCTTTACAAAAGTAAAGGAATTGCTGTCCCTCTGCTCACTGCAGAGTGCCATGGGTGAGCAATGCCTGGATTCGTATCCAGGATGTTTGTACAGTGGAGCACAAAAGCAGCACAGCTAAAAATGACACATATCGGCACCAGTCCAAGAATCAATAGGTAAAGTGGGAGTACAAAGGAAAATACATACACATGGACAGACCAAGGCACAAACTCAAGCTGTGTGAAGAGTTCAAACCAGTTAATTTATTGCATTATTTTGGCAGCAGCAGACGCCTTCCCTTACAGCAGCCCCAACAATGCAAGTCTCTCTGTGTGGCACAGTCTTGGACACTTTGTCACTCCCGTGCACCTGAAAAAGTTGACAGGCAAACCCTCACACTTTCCTTCACCTGGCTGTCTGTCCACACCCAGGTTGTGGTGTGATGACTCCCATTTGTCTGTGGCATGTAGGGTGCAGAACAACTGGCGTCCTCAGAGCCAAAGCTCCTCATGCCCTCAGGGCTCCATCCAATTGTCTGTGGCTGGTTGGCCATGATAAGGTGAGAGCAGTCTTCAGGGAACTGCCAGCACAGGTGGGACCAGTGAACTCTGGTGCTGTACCATGAGCATGACTGGCAGCAGCAGTGTCATAGCCTTGTCTGTCTAAGGTCACAGACAAGGTTATGTGCACCTGGAAGTCCATCTGCTCTGTACATGGTAGCAAAGTGGAGAAAAAAGAGCAACAGAAATAGAGGTGCAGATCAACTCACAACATCCAGCTTGTGAGTGGTGATTCTGCTTTTTATTTCCCCTACATGAGAATGATGCTAATCAAGTTTCTGATGAAAGCCACGTTTATCTCACAGCATCTTCAAGGAAGAGATCATAGACTTCGGAAGGTGCCAGGCACCATGGAAAACTCTTTTTGTCTTCTTGATTGTTTGCTGCACTTTAACAAAATCCTCTTAGTGGCTGGGCAGTGTTGTGTATGGTATTCCACAGGTGTATGCAGGCATTGCTGTACAAACACTGAAATAACCATACTGCAGGTATGACACAGGCTGTCTTTTTCCACAGCTTCACTGTCAACAAAGCCAGTTCTATAGTGGGCATATAGTATATGTTCCCCAGTAATCCTAAGTGAATCTGCTATTTTGTGGCAGAAACTGTTTTTAACAAAAGCTCATGTATTTCTGTTATGCTTCGTCTGCATTACACTTAGGTTCCTGCAGAAGTACTGTATGCACGCACATCTGTTTTAGATGTTATTTTGTTCTAAACTATCTGCTTTTTTCTGCCTTCTGTATCTTCAGTTTCTTCGTCTTCCCTGAGTTGCAAGTGTGTAGCAGCAGGGGAAGGTGCTCAGAGCCTACCTGATAGGGAGCAGGTGTGCTGGAGGCAGCTCATGCTGCAGGCTTTGCAGAGCAGGCACATCCTGACAGCGGGACATACGCCAAGTACTCCGATGCACAAATATAATAGTCACTGCAGGGGCAGTCATTTAAGAAAACTCTGCAAGAAGATTCAGCACATTGTGCTCCTTGCATAATAGGTTGGTGGTTAGGGCATTTGTCTGGAGGGGAAGTTGTCCCTGTTCCAGGACTCCTTGGTGCTAAATAGCCCAAATCTTCATCAGGTTTTCCTCCATCCTAAAAAACGTATGCTGTTTAGAGAATATGAACTGAGACTCTGACCCCTCTTTACTATTAATTGAACTTCAGGCTACAAAGCTCAAATCTCTTTTGCTTATTCTCTTCCTTATCTCTGTAGCCACACCGACAAGGGCTAGTTTCTCCTAATTAGACCCATTTCTCAAAGAGTGAAAGATCTATGAAAAGTGAGAGGGGTCAAAAGCCTTTCATCTTCATGGGCAAATGTTGTAGCACCAACACAAGTACATAGAAGGCTGTTCTTAGATTCTCCTGTGGCCTTATGCACAATTAATGCCCCAGCATTACTAGATACGTAACTGTGTCCCACGAGATGATTGCCCATAATAGAGGTGTATGCTCGCAGTCCTGGAGACTTCCTAATGCATAGCTGCAGACAGCTTTCCCCTTGGCAAAGTTGTCTATTTTTCCAGGTAAGCAACCCTCCCAAACTGCTGAAGAGCTCCCTGAGAGCTGAGTGCTCTCAATGATCCTGCTTGCCCAAGTGCTTAATAGCAGGCAAGACGACACCTAGTTTGGGGGTACCTAAAAGGACACTTTTTTGCATAGAGAAAGAAAAAGAGGGGAATGCAGCCTGTCAAAATGGTATGCAGGTGCTCAAAAACCCACATGAATTGCAGACAGCAATCCCAACTATTTCCCAGCATGGCCTAATCTTAAGAGCACCTCCCTTCTGAACATGAAAGTTCCTCGGGCATTTAACTTTATTCACCCACACATGTTTGGGAAGATAGGCACTTATCTCTTGCCTCAAGTTCTACTGCAATCCAGCTTAGGAAGACAGGCATTTAAATCTCTTCTAGAAGCCTGAAAAATTAGCAGCAGTAAGAATTATGTCTCACTTCTTCCGGTGTGGGCCACCGGCTTTGACGTACGTGCGAAGTGCAAAGCGCACGTCTTAAACTGAGGGAGGAAGTGGAATTGAAAGGGACCGATGTGACACTGCCTGCTCCTCAAGTGCATGTCTCCCCGACTGCTGTGCCATGCTTGTGTGCAGAGTGTGGCCAGTGTCTCTCACTGATCCCGCACCTCTGCAAGGTCAATACACAAAGCCAATGAAACCCATTCTTCTCTGAAAGGAAGCAAAATCGAGAGGCCAAAACTGGGGCAGGATGTGCTGAATGGAAGACTGTCATGGAACAAAGTGAGTAACAGCAGGTCATAGCCTCCTTCACTCCCCACATTCTCTGCCCCTTGCCAGTCTTGGAACTGTGAAGCTAGCGTTGAGTTGGCTTGTGCCTACTCTGCCACAGCCCTGTGCCTCTGCCTTCCTGCCTGCACAAGCTTTCAGCTGCAACACCTAGCACCCGCGATACCTCATGGCTGCTGATTATGCCATTCTGCTGGGGAGTTGGAGCTCAGTATTTAATTAAGAGTCTAGAAACATCACCCACTTCCGTTCTTACGGCTTTATGCATCTTTATGCAAAATGTGGGTGGAAGAGCTGTGATCATATAGCGCTTCATTAGCGCCAGTCCCACAGGAGGGATGGATCAGCTGTGGCATGTGTGGATGGAGCATTCCTGGTTTTTCCAATGGCTTTCCAGGAGGCTGTCTGGGCTCTAGCCACAGGCTGGCCTCGCTTGCTGCTGGTGTGAGTTCACTTCTGCAGTCAGCAGAAAGAAGGAAGAACCTGGCGCACCTCAGAGGCAGCAGACATCTTCTGCAGATCTTCAGAAGTGCCTCTTTCTGGCCACTGCCTGTGTCAGAAAGCTGAGATGATTAGATTACTACCGTGTCCCTTCCAGGGATCAGATATTCAACATTTCACCAAGGTAGTAACGTCTCAGTGAGGTGTCTGAAGTAGATGGGCAAGACTCTAGCCCAAATACTCAGAGCTTTGCAGCTAATGACTATAAGAAAATAAACCAACAGCATATCAGTAAGAAGTAATGATGGTGACAAATGAAAACTATGGAAATACAAATTAAAAGTAGAATGTATCATAAGATACGATTTGAAAAGAACCTAAAACATATGTCTGATCTTAATGCTTCTCTCTGCTTGTTTGAATCCCACCAGCCTTTAGAAAAAAAATGGTGTTCAAACAAATTTACCTCTTTCTTTTTATGAATCACAGAGGATTGAAAATAATTGTAACATAGAGAAAAAGTATTGGAACCAGTAAGAGCTTAATCTTAGCTCATCCGAGTTGTTCACCCTCGGTCTAATTCTTTGCTAAGTACTGTCCGAGAAGGTATAGGAGAACATTTATTTCCACAGCTTGAATATACATTGATTTTCTTATACTAGAAAACTTGAGAAAGTACAGAGCATTTATATCCAGATCGTGTAAATCCACTGCAGGCAAGTTTCACAGCTTAAAGTTACAAAGAGCATTCATTAATGCTGCAGTTCTGAGAAAAGCACGTAAGGACTGCTCAGCATGAAGGAGTCGGGATTTGATTTTTACTGAGATAAGTGGAAAGAATAATACACCTTCTCTAAACATCAGTGTTTTTTCTTTCATGTCTGTGATGCTTTTCCTAGCGTTACGTGCATGGCTGAGAACAACATACATTAGGAACAAAATTTTCATTGACGTGACTGCATGATTTTCTGTTTATTATTTATGTTTGCATAATTCCATGCATTAATAAAAAGAGAAGAAATTCAAAGATACATAACATAAAATGATTGTTTTTGTCCCGGAGCAACTATGCGGCCTGCTTTGACTTGATGCATATTCCTGAGAGCAGACAAAGTTGGTTCTGGTGAGCTTTCCAATAGAAGTTAGATTGGTAGCTGCTTTTTTTGTGAAACTGAACATCAGTTTCAACTGATTTTGTCTACCTAATTTAAGGACAGCTGGTGTCATCTACCGGACTTGTGCAAGGCCTTTGATTTGGTCCCACACCATATCCTTATCTCTGAATTGGAGAGAGACAGCTTAAAAAGGCTGGACTATTCGGTGGATAATGAATTGTTTGGATAATTGCAGCCAAAGGGTGGTTGTCAACACATCTCTGTCCAGATGAAGGCCAGTGATGAGTGGTGTCATCCAGGGGTCTATCTTAGGACCAGTGCTCTTTATCAATGACATAGATGACCACAGTGCGCCTTCAGCAAGTTTTCTGATGACACCAAGCTGAGTGATGCAGTTGATACAGCAGAAGAAAAGGATACCATCCAAAGGGACCTTGGTAAACTTGAAAGGTGGGCACACGTGCAGATTCAATGAAGCCAAATGCAGGTGTTGTACGTGGGGTAGGAAAATCCCAGAAATATGTACAGACTGGGAGAACTCCTTCCCTGCGGAGACTTTGGGGTCCTGGTAGATTGAAAAAATTAACATGAGTCATCAGTGTTGCTTTCAGCCTGGAAGGCCAATGGTATCCTGGTCTTCATCAGAAGAGGAGCGGCCAGCAGGGAGAGGAAGGGGATTGTCCCCCTCTGCTCTGCCCTTGTGAAGCCCCTTCTGGAGTACTGCGTCCAGGCCAGGGGCCCCATCTCAAGAAGGATGTGGAGCTGTTGGAGTAGGTCCATAGGAAGGCTGCAGAGATGATCCGAGAATTGGAGCACCTCTCCTATGAGAAGCTGAGGGAGTTGGGCTTATTCAGCATGGAGAAGGCTCACGGGAGATCTCACTGCAGCCTTCCAGTACACGAAGGGAGCTTATAAACAGAAGGGAGACCACCTTTTAACATGGGCAGACAGTGACAGGACAAGGGGGAATTGCTTTAAACTAAAAAAGGCTATTTAGATTAAATGTTGTGGATGTTTTTCAGAGGGGAGTGAAGCACTTGAGGCATTTGATGTCATACTGGATGGGTCCCTGGGCAGCCTGATCTAGTAGGTAGCAGCCCAGCCCATGGAACAGGAGTTGGAACTACATGATCTTTAAGGTCTCTTCCAACCCAAACCATTATTCAACTCTCTATTTTTTTTTTTAATAGGATATTGCATTTCAAATGCATTCCTGATATTGAACAGGTGGGTAAATGTTTCCTCTTGTGAAACTACTGCTCACCCTTTTGCTGTATATCAATGCTCAAGCCCATCTGTATTTGCAAAACTGTTTTTGTGAATGAGAAACTCAGTGTAAGCACAAGGCAAGATACTTCCCATAGCCTGAACCAAGAACTTACCAGAACCGATGGCTAGGACTTACTGTTCTGTCTCAAGTACTCGTCATCTTAAAAATAAGTATTTTAAACCGACAAAACTTGTGAGATGAAAGGCATGACTTGCAGCGGCTGTAAAAGCGTCCGTGTGAAGTTCAGGCTCTGTCAACGCAGCTGCACTCCGCGGGGCTGCCTCCGGCCGCCCGAACGGGTTCCGTCCTCCGGCCGTTCCGACAGAAGCTTTGCCGATCACAGCCCCGGCTGTGGCCCAGCCCCGTTACGGGACACCGCACCGACAGTCGTCCGGCGAGGGCCGACGGCTAACGCCGCGCTCAGACCCTCCCGCCAGCCTTAAGGCTGCGGCGCGCCCCCAACACCCACCTTCCGCCGGACCTCCCGCCCGCAGCCCTGCACTCGGCCCCGTCGCAGAGCCGCCCGCGCCGGCCGCGCGTGGCCCTTCCCCCGCCGCACATGCCCAGAAGGGCGGGAGCCGCGGCGGGCCGAGCGCCGCCGTGACAGCGGCACCGCCTCCCTCTCGTCTCGTCCCCTCCCCTCCCCGCTCGCCGTCCCGTCCCTTCCGCTGGGTGGGGGCCGCCCCGAGCCGCGCCCCCTGGCCCGCCGCCGGCGGAACCTCCGCGCCGCGCGCATCGGAGCGGTACTTGTGCTCCCCGCTCCGCAGAGCCGCCGAGGGGCGGGAGGCAGCCATGTCGCTATTGTCTCCGCTGGTGCCCTTGCTGAGGGTGTACTACTCCGGCCTCGCCGTCATCCTGCACCAGCTACGCCGCCGCCTCCGCTCGCGTTGCCCCCCGACCCCAGGTGAGCATCGCGCCCGGCGCTGCCGGGGGCGCGGGGCGGGGCGGGGGCAGCGCCGCCGCCCGCGGGGGAAACTTCGCCGCGGCTTCCCGCCGAGGGGGGAGGGCGGCTGCAGCCCCCGGACGGGGCGACCGCGACCTTGGGGGCGCCGCTCGCCCGCCGCCGCCTGGTCCCGCGCTCCTCCCCCCCGGCCCGGAGGGCTTTAGGCTGCGGGGGCCGCGGCCCGTTGCGCCCTCCCGCTCCCGCCGCCCCGCCCTCGCTACCGCCCCCGGCCCCACCGCTCCGTCCGGAGCGCGGGACGCGGCCGCCCCGGACGCGGGGCGGGGCGGGGCGGGGTGCCGGGCCCGGGGCGGCCGCTTGTTTGCCTGGCTGCACGCCGGCCTGAGAGCGGCCTCGCAGGCGGCGTGGGGAGTCCGCGGGCGCTTCGCCTCTTCGCTCTTCTCCTTCCTTCCTCTTCTCGCTCTTGGCCGCTCTGCCTCAGACCTCAGGTCTGGAGACAGACGGGGCGGAGCGCCTTCCGGCCCAGGTAGGTGCTCGGAGGGTGGGCTGCACAGGGGGGATGCGTCCGGGCTCCTGCAGGGCACCTGCCCGGGCCTCGCTTAGTCCCGTGCCCGCCGCACTGCCTCAGTAGCCCAGCCTGCCCCTCGTTCCCCGTCCCTGTAGCCCTGCTGTCACCAGCCAAGTTGGTGAGAGGGACTCGTACTTTTCCCCAGATCAGCTATGTGCTTGAAAAGTTACTTTTTTGCTGCTTTTTTTTTTTTTTTCTTTCTGATTTTTGATCAGCAAGTGCTTGGTAATGATTCGTTTTAGTCCTGTAACGTTGACTATGGAAACTTTGAGTTTAGCAGGAAAAAAGTATCTGAATTTCCTCTTTTCTTACGTTTCTCTTTAGGACTTTAGAACGCTTCTGATTTTGCGAACTTACAGCAAAGTACGGTCTGACTGGATGCGTGCTATATCGTCAGATCTCAGCATAACTCTGCTACAGGACAGTGCCTTTGCCATCCTCTGGCAGCTTTGGATCTGTGGGAAGTTTTAACAAGGGTCACAGTAAAAATCCATGGCAAGGGATGGGGCAGGAGTAGGTTGGGATAGAGGTGTGTGGGACACTGGAGGCCGATGGCCGAGCAAGCTGTGTTCCACCACACGTGGCTTCATGGGCAGCACCTCTGCTTTTCTTCGCTCTTGATAGTTCTACAGTAAGTTTGCATTCTCCTGTTTAATCTCAAAACGCAAGCATAGAACATGGAAAACAAGTAGAAGAACCCCAACAACAAAGAGGCAGATGTGCGTACAGTTTGAAGTCATCTGAGCATTTTTGTAGCATTAGTTTTTCTTGGCAGGGTGAAGGCGGGTATTGTGCCTAGGGTGTGTAACGCTTTCCAAATCTTTGCTGAATCGAGAAGCACCACGATGAAAATGTGACCCGAGTGTTTTGATGCGTTACATACTCTTATGGAAAAAAAAAAATTGAATTTGGAAATAACAGAGCAAGGCAGTGCATGCGGCATCGGAGAGACGTCAGCTGGCCTTAGCAGGTCTGTGGCAGATCTGATGGATTTGGAAAGCTTTCCTCTGGTCCCAGTTCAGAGTGGCTCTATCCAAGGAGAGCAGCTTCCTTGGAACAGGACTATTAGGCACACTCGCATTCTCGGCAGTAACCTGCTGCCTTGCTTTGGCTTGTCAGGGCTTCAGAAACCAACTAGGCTATCAGTGGGAGGGTTTTTGCCTTGATTAGCCTTGTTCTCGTGCAATAATTTCAGAACAGTGACTACAGCATGACAAAAGGTGGAAGTGTTGGTTACGATGTTCTTAAATAAAGCTTGGATCGGTGAACTATGCTTACTGTGGGAAGTAACTGAGTAACTTTTTGAGGCAGGAATCTAGAATGTGTTGCAGTGCCCATGTTTAAAACCGCCTGTGTCTTTCCGAGGCGCTGACCTTGCAGCTTGAAAAAATGCTCACTGGCAGCGGCCATTGCCTGAGCAATGAAAGGCCAAGAGGGGAGCAGCGCTGGCACTGGTGGTGAAGGAATGTCTCTCATCCTGACTGCTTGGCTGCTGTCCTGTTGGGGTTCCCATTTCCTGGGTACGGCTCTATAGCATGGCGGGGGCACAGCTGTAGCTCGACCTCAGGCACTGTGCTGGTGAGCGAAGGCGCTGTTGACACCCATTGTAAGCGCAGCCCTTCAGTCTCCAAGGTGCGCAGTTCATTTTCCAAGGAAAGCTGATTTTCTCACTCTTAGCAGAGAAATTTTGAGGATTTAAATCCAAAGTAAGTCCAAGGTTGCATGTTCTTGACACGTATGCTTTATTTAGCGTCTATTCTGTTGCATCCTCCTGGAGTTCATCTAGTTTTTGTAGGTAGGATTCGAGACAGCTTTTTGGGAAAGAGGACAGTTTCAGCACTGAAATCTAGATTCAGGGTAAGGTTAGTAAGCCTGGTTAGTAATTTCTTGGAGCTGTGAGCTGAAAGGATCCAACTCTTTATCCTGAAGCTGCAGCTACCGATCCAGAGTGGGAGTTTGACTGAAATTCTGACCTTGAAGCACAGGGAAGGCGAGTCCAAAGTTGGAAGCTCAAGTGTGGCACAGTCAGTGATTTTATCACAAAGCAGAATCAGTGTGTGGAAGTAAAGGGGGAAAGGCCATTTATGTTACAAACAATTCTCTAGATACTGATTGCATAGGTGACGTAGCTGCTGATGCATGGGGTGAACTGCATTAGTGCTGCGGCTGGACCCTCTGCTGCCAAGGCTCAGCAGGGGAAGCGACTCATGGATTCCAGAACAAACGCAGTTGTGCAGGTTGCCAGGTGCACCCGCTCACTGCACAACGCCCAGCTCCTCTTCACAGTATGGGATTGCACTGTTCTCTTCAAATTGGGTGCATCGACCTGAAACAAGACGTGTTCTGAGAGGCAGCATGTCTGCTCCTCGGACACAAAATAATCAGGTGGCAGAGTTCCCTGGTGAGCCTGCCTGTCGTGGTTCTTTGGTGGCAGGATGGTGGGGCTGCCCAGCACTGAATCTTCGTGATGTCGCAGCAGGGAAATGTGGGGCTTTGGATTTTTGTGGGGTAAGGAGCTAACCAAGCAGAGCTTCGGCAGCTGCTTCATGCCTTGCTTTTCCTCTTTGATATCTTCATTCTGCTCTTTGCTTATTGCTGGCAAAAACTGGTCTTCTGTTTCCACAATAAATCGCTGCAAGTCTGGTATTGCCTCACCTATCATTTCATTGTTCATTGTCCAAAAAACCCTTGTCATATAACAAGTGTTCAGTGGACTGAAAAATAGGTTCATTAGGAATTACTGCCTTGATGTTTCTTACAGTTGAAATTCAACTTAATAGGAGGGGAAAAAAGCATAAATGCCCAGCGTACATAAAGATCTTGATGTAATCAGCTTCTAATGCAGAAACCATGTAATCAGTCAATTGCTGAAAGATGAACTCACTTTGTGACACCAGTCTATAACACTAGAAGTGGGGTCTCCGAAAGCCATCTCACCGATAACATTTTTCATGTACTGATGGCTTTTTGGTATTTTAAAAAGCTTCTCGGGGAGGCATTTTCTTCCTGCATTTTGTCTTCTGTGCGTGTGATTTGGTTGAAATTTAGCAGTTAAGAGCGGTATCTGATGTGTAGAAGACTGTCTCTGAGGAGGGCTGTAGTGTGAGTGAAGAGCAGGAGAATCATAGAGTGGCGTGGGTAGAAAAGTACCACAATGATCATTAGGTTTCAACTTCCCTGCTATGTGCAGGGTCACCAACCACCAGACCAGGCTGCCCAGAGCCACATCCAGACCTTAAAGCTGACTCACGTTCTTTCTAAAAGCGATTGAAACATATATATTACTTGCCTCGATTTCTAGTTAATCAGTGTCATATTTTGTACAGAGTTCAGTTGTAATTGATCATGAAATGTTAATTTATTTGAGAACATCTGTCTAATTTTAATTCCTTTACTGAGGGCTTTTACTTTGTGCGCCTAAAGCTTAAGGACAGACCAAGCATTTCCTCCTTAAAGTTGTACCAACTGTGGGATGTAAAGCACCTCGTTCCAGTAATGGGCAAACCATCGTGCAGGGAAGACTGAACGCAGGGAAAAACAAAATCGTGCCTGATGCTTGATCCCTCCCACCACTCAGGCATGTTAGAGAATTACTTAGATACTTTCAAAAGTCTAAAAACTCAAGTTTTGGAGTTGCTTCTGTGCTGAATGAGGCAAGGGCACTGCAGAAATGATAGCATGTAACTGCAGCCTGTGTCACTGCTGCATGTGCACAAGGGGGCAGAGGGAAGGTGGCTGTGCACCTGGCGTGTCCCAACAGCCAAATCCCTGCTTTCACAACCCAGTTTGTGTGGGTTTTGGATGTGACTTCTCTGTCAGTGGGAAAAGCCTCCATCATGGGCCTTTGGCCTTCAGCCCTGCCAACATCAGGAGGATGAGAGCAATCTGGGGCTGAAGAGCAGGGCCATGGGAAGCACAGAGCATGATGGAGCATGCCCAGGAAGCCCAGTCCTACCTCCTTCTCTACTTTCTGTTCTTAGTCCTCCTCCTCCTGATGTCATCCCGTAGGCCAGGAGAGGTTGCAGAGCTGTCAACGGGCCATCTATGCTGAAGTCCTTGACCCTGGTGTGTGGTGGTGGTTTGGGCCAGTTGTACGTACAGGAGGAGCCCAACTGCTCCTCCAAATGTGTGCTCTGCCATGGCGGGGGTGGGAGTTCAAGGGAGAAAAGAAAGGCACTTCTGTAGCCTTAAGGCTTTCTTATTGTGAAAGGGTTTGCAGTAGACCCAAGTGGCAGTTTTTTTTTACAGTGAGTAGTCGAGTGAGCTGAAGGAGAGAGTTTCTGCCAACCACTGTGCAACAGGTTGCACTCCCCTCTGCTTTTTGCCAGGCCTGGGCTGTGGATGCTGCAGCTGTTGGAATGGAGAGGGAACACTCACCTCCTCCTTGAGAAAAATAAGTTACACTATAAGCTACACAAGGAGAGGCAGGGGTGGTTAACAGTTTATATCAGAGCTGTTACAATAAGTTGAAATGTGGTTTATAGTCTTATAACTTAATCTATGCTAACTGATGTGTCCTTAACTATGGCATTGCTACTCAGTGCCACCACCACCAGGGCCAGATCCATCTAAAAATAATGGTAATGCTGTAACATAAGAATGAAAGCGTCTGTAACGCTCCCCTGTTCTGAAATAACTTGTCCTCTATCAGTCTTTGATGAACCTTTTATGATCCAAGGTGTGTCCTACTAACTTCAGAGATGCATCAACTCTGTTATTGCAGTTCCTTCCTCCTTGCTTTCAGGAACTGCCATGTAATTGCAAAGGAAACTGCAAGATTTAATGAAATGCCAGGAGCCTGTGCCTCCTTGAGACTGCTTGTCATGGAGTGAAACAGGGGAAACCAAAAGCAGTAGTAATACACACTGGAGTGTTTTATCAATACACGATCATATGTTATAGCAGGGTTACATCAGTATATGTTACACCACTTTGTCTTTCAAAATCACCAGTTTTGGTGAGATTGCATACCTTGGTGCTGTTTCAGAGTTACAGAGCCATTACCATGTTGAATCAGTTGTTTATCCTGGCAACTAAAAAAGCACTGAATGAGTCATACAAGAGGGCATACAATAGTCAAAACATTCCCCCTTCCAAGTCAGAAGTTTGCACACAGAAGTAAATCTTCAGATATATGAATACTGAAAACAAATCTAATAATTTAAACACATGCCTTGTACCTCTCATTCTAAGTCTAAACCAACAGCTGTGTTTAAATAAATATATTTAGTCCTGGTAAACCTGTACTTGCTCTTTCACTGAAGCAATTCACAAAGTGCTGCAAAATACCTGCTGCAGTTACACCTTTTCTTGGGAATGTTTATCGACAGTGGAGAACATGCTGGAGGAGCTGCATCCATAAAATTTTTGGGGATGTTCCCCTGAAGCAAATTTAAAAAAAAAAGCAGATCCTTTCTTCCTTTGCCAGCCAGCTGGTTTTATTGCCTGGGGATTCATGCGTTTTGGCACAGAGGCAGCTCCTCCTGAGCAAGGGAGAAGTCCCATTGCTTTTGGGATGGCTGCTGGAATGCTCTTCAATTTCTCTTCTGCTCTTTCCTTGTTTCTGTATGGAGGAGGTCACATCAGTGTTGGCTGATGGCTTCCTTCTCCCTGCTACCTCAGCGAGGGGCTGCTGCTTGCGGCTGTGCTGGTGTTGCACAAGGAGAGAAGTGCAGGAGTACAGTGGTGCTGTTGCATGGCCTTTTGGTTCAGAGGAGTAAGCTCTGGCAGGTGGTTGTTGCCTGCAGTGTGTGCAGGGATACTGTGTTTGCACAAGAAGACTTTCCCTGTACAGATATTTAGGTACAGTTTGCTAAGCCGTGCCTTCTTGCTGTATTCTTTTCCAGCATGTCACCGCTCCCACAAACTTCTTTAGTCTTTAGAAGAAAAGAGAGCAAAATTATTTCTTACCTGATGTGGTTAATAACTTTTATTAGTGCTTCCCTGTCTACCTCTTCCTGTCATTATAACATACTGTTTATTCTAGGAACTAAGACTATGAACTGGCACTTCAGAAAGTTGCTTTGGTTTCTGAAATAGAAGGACAGGAAAGGTGTCAGAAGCGCATTGCTGATCTGCATGCAGGTTCAAATTCCACTTCCTTTTGTTTTTGTTATAAAACTTCTTTACACTTCAGAGGAGCAGATTAATGCCGTAATTTGCATCTCAGCTTATTTTCCTCTTAAGGCGAGTCCTGGAACAGTTAGTTCAAGCTAACAGAGACTATTTTGAAATAAACAAGCAGTAAAACCTTTGCTCCTTCAGTATCAAGTTTCGTTTGAAACAAATATTCACAGTGAAGTTTGCTAACTGTTAGGCTAGAGGATGTTAGATAATGTTAGTCTAGCCTTAGCTATAACTTTGGGGACAAGAAATTGCTACAGCACATTTCTGGCTTGTGTGACAATGATGTGTGAACTCTGTGGCAGATGTTACATGTCCTCTACCAAGAATTATGTAATTCCAGAAACAAGATGTACTCAGATCTTTTAGGTCAATTTCACAGCAGAATGTGCTGTATTTGAAACCTTTTAAATTTTTGACATTCTAATGGGCTTCTTGTAGGTCACACTTCCTGCAAATCTCATCTTTAAAAAGCAAATGTAATTAGTGAGGTAGGCTTCTTGATATATATTCACAGAAACAGTGATTTCACGTAGTTGAGTGTGGTCAAACTTGTGCTCTCATTGTATCTTTATCTTACTGCCTTTATCAGGTACTCATTAATGAGTGAAGGATCAAAAGGTGGGACGGTGGCCAAGAAGCAATGGAGAATAAAAGTTTAGAAGGTTCCCCGTCAGATCTAAAGTTAGTGGCTCACCCAAGAGCAAAGAGTAAAGTGTGGAAGTACTTTGGGTTTGATACCAATGCGGAAGGATGCATATTACAGTGGAAGAAAATCTACTGCCGTATTTGCATGGCACAGATCGCCTATTCGGGAAACACTTCCAACCTTTCCTACCACCTCGAGAAAAACCACCCCGACGAATTCTGTGAATTTGTGAAAAGTAACACCGAGCAAATGAGGGAGGCCTTTGCAACTGCATTTTCAAAAATCAAGCCAGAATCATCGCAGCAGGTTGTTCAAGATAGTCTCATCATGAAGACTTACCAGAACTACGAAAACAAAAAGCATCAGGAGCTGACGTCTGCAGTCATCAGCTTGATCTGTGAGGGCATGTATCCTGCTTCTATTGTCGACGAACCCACTTTCAAGGCTCTCTTGAGAACAGCTGATCCCAGGTATGAACTTCCTAGCCGGAAGTATTTCTGTACGAAAGCTATTCCTGAAAAATACAACACCATTAGAGAGATCGTGTTAAAAGAGCTCACTGACGTCCTGTGGTGTGGCATATCCACAGACATGTGGAGGAGTGAAAACCAGAACAGGTCGTACGTAACTGTCGCAGTTCACTTTCTCAGCAGTAGTCATTCCAACTGCCTGGTGGTCAACTCACGTTGCTTAAAAACGTTTGAAGTACCAGAGGATAATACTGCAGAGACTATTACACGAGTCCTTTATGAAACATTCATCGAATGGGGGATCAATACAAAAGTCTTTGGTGCTACCACAGACTACAGCAAAGACATTGTGAAAGCTTGCTCTCTCCTCGATATTCCAGTGCAGATGCCTTGCTTGGGGCACACTTTCAATGCCGGAATACAACAAGCTTTTCAGCTCCCAAAGCTCTGCAGCCTTCTTGCCAGGTGCCGAAAACTGGTGGAGTATTTTCAGCAGTCTACGGTAGCAATGTATATGCTGAGTGAGAAGCAGAAGCAGCAGAATATTCTGCACTGCATGCTGGTGAGCGATCGCGTTTCCTGGTGGGGCAGCACACTGGCCATGTTGCAGCGCCTCAAGGAGCAGCAGTTCGTCATCGCTGCCGTCCTCGTGGAGGACAGCAACAACCACCACCTCATGCTGGAAGCCAGCGAGTGGAATACAATCGAAGGGCTGGTGGAGCTGCTGCAGCCTTTCAAACAGGTCGCAGAGATGATGTCTGCTTCCAAGTACCCGACAATAAGTATGGTGAAGCCCCTTCTCCACATGCTTCTCAACACTACCCTGAACATCAAAGAGAACGATTTGAAAGAAATCAGCATGGCGAAGGAGGTAATAGCTAAGGAGCTGTCAACTACCTACCAGCACACCCCAGAAATAGACATGTTCCTCAATGTTGCCACTTTCCTGGATCCTCGCTACAAAAAACTGCCTTTTCTTTCAGCCTTTGAGAGGCAGCAGGTGGAAAACAGAGTGGTGGAAGAAGCAAAAAGCCTGCTGGAGAAAGTCAAAGAAAACACTTTTCGGACTGAGGAAAAGTTCTTCACGGTTTCGGAAGAACCTCCAGTGAAAAAAATAATCATCTCCTCCACTCCTCCTCCTACTAGCGTGATCAACAACATGCTTGCAGAGATCTTCTGCCAGACGGGAGGTGTGGAGGACCAAGAGGAGTGGCACGCTCAGATTGTTGAGGAATTGAGCAACTTTAAGTCTCAAAAAGTGCTTGGGTTGAACGAAGACCCACTAAAGTGGTGGTCTGACAGACTAGCACTGTTTCCAGTTTTACCAAAGGTTCTTCAAAAATACTGGTGTATTTTGGCCACAAGGGTCTTTCCCGAACGCCTTTTTGGTTCTTCTGCTAACGTTGTCAGTGCAAAGAGAAACCGGTTGGCCCCAGCGCATGTGGACGAGCAGATCTTTTTGTATGAAAACACTCGGAATGGGTCGGAGGCAGAACCAGAAGATGAAGATGAAGGAGAGTGGGGTTTGGAACAGGAACAGATTTTTAATTTAAATGACTCGGTAAATGTAAACAACAATTTCTTTAATATCCGAGACAGTGGGTTTGTTTAACAGGACTTCTGCAGTACGTTTAATAACAAATAGAAAGGTATTTGTCATAAGTTACCAAAAATACTTGTTTATGCTATGAATGCTGTAAATATTGAACAGTTGTCTCAAATTTGATAGCTTCCATTGTCTGTGTTTTTCCCACTGTCTTAAAACATGAATGACTTGTGATTAAACAGCACTGAAATGAACGAGGAAATAAATTCTACAAAGACCATGATTTCTGACTGTGGCCCAGATCTCAGAGAACACTTAGCCTTGTGCTTCCCTTCCGCTTACTTCACTGGAAGAGGAATACATGTTCATGTGCTTTCTATAATGAAAATATTTATCCTGAGTTAGGACCCTAAGCAAGGGAATTTTTAAGATTTATGCCTCTCATTATAAATCCCATGAGACTTAGGGTGTTAGCTTTAAATTTTGGATTTTAAAATGTTATTTTTAAATTCCATAAATCGGAGCAGCCAGGATTTTTAGAGTGTATTAATGATAAAAAATGAAAAAAAGGTCACGAGCCTGATTTTCTTTTTTACTACCTCATGTCTTAGGCTTGGTCTATGCTAGAAAAGTTCGGCTGGTATGATTCTGTCAGTTAAGGGACTGTGCTACTATTTTAACTGGCATTGTGCTGGCATAGGCTGTAGTGTGGATGCAGTTATACTTGGAGAATTTGTTTGGCTCTCCAGTGTGGTGTAAATGGTATAAACGCTTCCAGACTGGTACTGCTGTGTCCACGTTGCTCAGGTTTTACCATTGAGCTGTAATGGCTAAATGGCAAAGCCCTTTTTATCCAGGCAAGCCCTGGCTGTAGTCTGTCCTGGTTTTAGAAAGTGAGTTGGGTCCAGGCAAGGTTGCTGTGCAGATGTGGCAGTTGATGCCAGAGCTGCAAAGCATCAAAGGCATCTGCCCTAAGGATGGAGAGAGGGGACAAAGGTGGCAGGAGGCATGCCAGAGCCATAGGTCTAACTGTGTGTGTGTGTTATAAATTAACCTTTTAATTTAAACGGAGATTTTGTCCAGGGTAGTATAAAGAATTTTGTTGATGAAAAAAGCAATATAAAAACTTTAATATTATGTAAATATATTTAAAAGAGGGAGACCTTCCATTTCCCCACATGTATTTAGTGAGTCTGTAGGGTTGTTTCTTGTTATGTTAGCACTTAAAACTTTTCTTTCTTTTTTTTTTTTTTTGATTCAGTTTGTAGAGTGAAGTCAAACGTTTGAGTGCTGTTTCTGATTAGTTGTTATGTATTGCAATTGCTTCCTGTGTGTCTCTGGGCCTAAGTGTTTTTCAGCCCTTTTGAGAAATTGGCAAAAAAAAAAAAAAAAAAAAAAAAAAAGAAAAAAGAAAAAAGAAAGAAAGAAAAAAGGAAAAAAAGCCCAACAATGAGAACCGTGTGTCTCTTATGAAATACTGCAGGTCAAACACGGTGATCTTTTGACTTGGCACTGAGCGTGATGGTAGCCAGCACTTCTTAGTGAGGTGTGGGAGGAGTTGATGGCTGTACATGTGTGGCAGGTCTCTTGTACCCCGCTCACAGTCTCCTGCTAGAGCTGTGCTGGGAGGGTTGCTCTTGCCTGGTTAGCACCAGTTCCTACAGGTGCTTAAAGGAGCCGAAAAACGCCACTGAGACAAATTCTGAAGTTCTGTGCCCAGCTGTGAAGAGCTGCCTCTGCCCTGCTGCCCCACTGTGGTCTCAAGGACCGTGCTGCCAAAGAAACACGTGTGTGGTGACTGGGGTGGCGGTGGGAGACACCGATGTTGTACATTGGCAGTGAGTGTGAGCATGCTGAGCGCGGCCCGTCTGGAGAGAGGTGCGTGGAAGATGGTCATACACTGAGAAGACAGCTCGATTTTTGTCATCACCGTGGCATCTGCAGACGTGTGCCTGTAGAAGGAGACTGGCCAGAAGGAACGTGTGAAAATGTATTCAATTACACCATCGTTTATGTCACCAAACCACGTATTTATGTGTTGGCTTAGGAGTTTTTACAGATCGGAGCCTTCCGTGGCAAGATGGGGTAGCTGGGTATGACTGGCCATGATGCCATGATGATGTGACAGATGTGTGTGTGAGGGCTACAAAGTCAAACCTGGGAAAGGAGTGAGGTGCAGCAGGTTCCTCTTTTCTGCCTCCTCCTTCATGTCACCCTGCATCTTGTAAGAACGCCTGGCTGGGTTTATTTTCATCGCTGCTAGCCACTGGGGAGCTTCAGACAGCTGTCACAAAGCATGCATGGCCTGCTGTGCCAGCGTGAGACCTGAGCACACAGCAAGGCTTGTGGCCTGCTCCTGTGTGAATCTGCTGAGCTGTGTGGGGCACTGTTCCCTTCTGCCTTGCATCCTTTTATTTATTTTTTTGGTATCCAAAATAAAACTAGTTGGGTCAATGGAGATGTCTCAGCATTCTTTTAAAAAAAAAGAAAAAAAAAAAAAAAGAAAAAAAACCAAACCAACAAAGCCATTGTTAGTCCTACTCATTGTCTGTGAGATTTTTATTTAATGTTCGAAGCTTGGAATATTGTTAAATAAACCAGAAAAAAATATGTTAGTTACTAGAGTATTTGTCTGATGTGCGTTCATATCTGCAGCACTTTATGACTTTGAACTCTTCTGCAGCAGTGGGAGGTTGTAGTCTAAGCTTTGGAAGCTATGCATTTATTTTTCTTTTGATCCTGTAAGTTATTATCTTTTGGATTAAAAAAAAATATGGAAATGAAAAATGTCAGAAGTTTAGACAGTTTCTCTTACTTAAATATGTGTGGTGTTTCTCATTTAAGATACCATCATCTGTTGTTTGATTGGGTGGAGAAACAAAGTTGCGGAGCTATTTATGTATTTCTGCAACGTGAGTTAAGCTGTTGTTATTGCCAAGGGTGGGCCTAGGGTACGCTTCCAAATCAAGCTATTACATCAGATTTATATTCAGTTTTTTGACAATGAATTGGAATCCACTGTCTAATTTCTGGTACAACTGAGGTGTTTTTATGGAGAAGCAATAGAGGGACTTCAACTTCTGAATACTTCCATGCTGGAAATGTGAATTTGGAAGTATGCTTTCAAGTACATACGTTGAATTGGAAGAAGAATTACTCATTCTGCAGCTCAGGGTTAAAACTTGATGCATCAGGTGTGGGTTCTCAGGACCAGAAACGTCACCAGTTTTGTTGACTGACCAGTCTTTCTGTGCCATCAGGGATTATGACAAAGCCAAAAGGAGAACCCAGAACAAAAACAAGTTAAAAAGGTGAATCTTTCCAGCTAGACTGTATTTTAGATTCCTTGGTTTAAATGATGTAAGAGCATAAAGTTCTGGATTGTTCGTGGAAAGGGCACGTTAAGTTTCTGTTGCAGCAACGTATCAAGAATCCTGCTGAAATTAGGGCACTGTATTGCTAAGGCTTCTGAACAAAATGTTTCCTGCCCCTAAATTAATTACTTACATAGCTTTCCAGAGCAGTGGAAGGGGGATACCTGCAATACTTTTACTTCTGAAGAGCTGGCTCTGTCAGCACAGCACTTTGTGGCACAGCAGTCCTCTCAGTACACTGGGAAGTCTCCCATGCTTTGGCTCCTGGAGGGATACATTTTGTGGCTTTTTCCAATTCTCATTTTTTTTGTTTTTGCAGGCCACAACTGTATGATCTGTCTTATTTCCTCTGAACTGCTGGTCTTCTGTTAAATTCAATGTGTATTTTGTTTCTGGAGGGTGTAGGGAAATGATAGATATTTTTTTTTTACTCTTTTAAAAGAGGTATTATTTGGTGCAGTAGCTGGGATTTAAAGATGCAGTGTAAATTTATATCTGCCTTAAAAGTATATTATTAGACCCCTTCTAATGATTTCCTGTTGTTGAAACTGGAATTTCAAGATATCCCTGCACTTGCTGTATAATTTTACATACAGAAGCATTTCCTTAGGTTAAACAATAAAAATCGATTAAGTAGATTTCTCCTGTTTCCACAGTAATTCTCAGTGCCACTGCAATTGGGTTGAACTGCCCCTCGGGAATTAAGTTTACCTTAAGAAGACAAAGCACTATCTTTCAGCTTATCTTCTGTTTTAAATCTTAACCATGAAATTTGATTTAGATCAAAGGCTACTGCAGAAACCGCTTTCAAACGAGAGGCCTCCAGACTCTGAAATGTTAATATTATGAATTTTGAGCGTCTATATTGGCATTTCCACACAAGGTGGTATTGATTTACCTGGCTGCTGGAAGAAAAGGTTACTGCTCGAAAAGACGATGCTGCCATCCGTCTTGCTTAGAAGAGATAAGATGCAGGGTGGGTGTTTTGTTCAGAGAAGTTGGAAAGGCTGTTCCCTGCTGCATGTGCAGATGCTGGTTGCCATGACTTTAAAACTGGTTCTTATCTCCAGTGACTTTAAAAATCCACTGTATCTTTCTTAATCTCCTCTGCCTCTCTTCCAGCTGTGTAAAGGAAACATGTAGAGGTGTGCCCATAGATACGTATGATTGATATCCACTCCCAGCATTGCAAGCTGTTCTTGTGCAGGAGTTCACTTACACTGGTGCACACTAAAGCTGCAGTTCCTTGTCAGTAGATATTTTGGGATAACATCTGCAGGGGTTTTACTGTTAAAAAAGCCATAGCTGGGGCAGACACATTCAGCTGTCAGAAGGCAGCCTGGTTGGTTTTAGCTATACCAGAATCAAAAGGAGATACTTTTATTTGAAAATGAATTAAAAACATTGCATTTACTAACACTCTTAGAATACTTACTAAAATGCGCCAAAAAATGTGATGACATAATAATTTACCTACATGTATCTAAGAGAGTGAGCATCCTTGGTTTACTTAGTGCTCTGGAAGTCTGGAAGTCTTTCTGTATTTGTCCGTAGCTGCGTGTCATGTTGTGTCATAGCACAATGTCATGTTGAACTGCGATTCCCCAAGCAAAGCAGAATTAGGTTATTTTTAAAGAAGTAGTTTCTTCAATTCCGTGTGAATTCCTGAATATGTCATTTTCCCCAGATGCCTGCAGTCGTGAATGAGAGATTGATCTTTTATTTAACTGATGGCTGCTCCCTCGCTTTTAAATTTTTGATGTTATATGCCTCTGTTTTTTGCCCTGCCTTTAGAGACATCACAATCGAGAGGGTTTCATTCTCTGTTTTCTTTGGTGTGCTTTTTCTCGTGAGTCAGGAGTGAGGTTTACCCTGATGTTAGAGGCCTAACAAGACGTCGAGTCAGCGTCAGGAGAGCTCATGCCAGAAACAAGCAGAACAGCGTCAGAAACACTCTGTTCTGAACAAAACCTTCATTTTCTCCATGTGGTTTTCTGCTGTTTGTATGCGTGAGAGAGAAAAATGAAGTGCTTGTATACACAATGCCCTATTCTGTTTGTTAGGTGCCAGTCTATTCTGCTGTGAGTTTACTCACTGGATAAACCCCAGGTTTGCGTTTCTTGGGCACACAGCAGAATATATATGGGCAGCAAGAATTTAATAATAATAAAATCTAAAAGCTTAATTTTTGCACTAATGAGAACAAGTAGGAAGTGGGTCCATCTTGCTTCTCTGTTCAAGCTAAGGGAAGGAAAGAGGGTAATAGGAAGAGTCATGAAAATGCAGCAGAAGGCTGCAATTCATGGTATTTTTTCTAATCTAAACTGGCATATGTGAGGCTTTTAAGGACAAATCTGTTCTTTTGAGAAGTAAAGCAGTTCTCTTTCATTGACCTACATGTCAGACTCGTAGCATCACTCCAGTCGTAACTGTTGCTCTCTTTTGCTGCACTTGCCTACATGAGAGCGTGTAAGGAAACTGTCCTTACTCATTCTGTGCTTCTGTTCACATAGACTCTGAAATCATGACAGTGTTTAAAAATATGAAATTACTAATCCGCTCATAGTTTGCCATTTCAGACCCAACGTGAAAGAAAAGCTTTGCACGTTTCTCAGTGTTTTCATGCTGCCAGCTGTGAGCTCTGCCAGCTCCAAGCTCTGCTCTCTGCAAGGGCCCCAGGGCATTGAGGAAGGGAATGGTGGGAAAAAGGGAAGAACTTCTTGTAATCAATTGCTTAGCTCGTGGAAGCCCAGGTTGAAACGTTTTTTTTTGAGTGATACTTTGTCACGGCTTCTCTGCTTAACAAAAAAGAACATCAAAAGGTTTCCTTGCTGATGACCTCGGAGGTCTCAAGGGAACCAGCACTGCAGTGAGAATGAGGTTGTCCTGGGGAGGGTGGATAGCTTGGGCTGAGCCTGGTGCGTCTATTTTCTTGTCTCTCATTTTAAGTCCTGTTTAATTTCCCTTTCAGCGCTGGTGTGTGCTGTGTTATTTGCTCTTATATTCAAAGTGTAGGAAAAGAAAAATATTATCTGCATACTTGTGTGCATACTGTGGAGACTCACATGCGTTGTATGTGGTTTTCCAACTGCTTTGCATGAAAAGCAAGATGAGGATGGTACTTGGTTTACCCTATAGTGCTATGAGCACAAGAATGTAATTGCTGCAGAGAGACATCTGTGCCCCTGGTTAGAGGTACGACATGAGGAACGGCAGCCTTGTGCCTACTGTGAAAGCATGAAACATTCCTCAGGTGCATCTAAAGCATTCAGATCAGCTGGATCTTTGTAGCCCTACAAACACTACCACAACCTTGTTCATGCCCTCCCCATCCTGCCTCGCCTCCCCTATATTACTTCAGCTAGTTTTACAAAGACTGTACAGTACTTGCAGAGAAAAATTCACAGATAATAGGAGGAACTATTCGTCAGTAGTTAAGAGTACTGCATACTCTTTGTGCCTTTTTTTGGCATTATTTATAAGATATGAAGAGTTGGAAGAGAAAACTTTTTTTTTCAACCCAGAGACAAGATCCACAAATGTATGAAGTAGCATGTAGTGCATGTAGGGTTGTAAATTCTTCCTTCTGTGAGTGGTTTGACTCCATACGCAACTTGGGTCTGCTGGTTTTGCTTCTTCAGGCTGTTTAGGAGAGCTGCTATGCTCTACAGGATCTATACAGGATGGGATCCAGATACCTCTGTAATGTTTTCTCTGCTTTTGGGTGTTGCAGGGTCTACTTTCTGTGCATGCCTGAAGGAGAAGGGTCAGGGCTTTCTCCATTGTGTTGTTCCTGCCTTCAACAGAACAGGACTGCCGGCTGATCCCTTTGCTAGAACCAGGGCTACAGAATGATTCATTCTTTCGTATTTTCTTAGGTTAAAATTAAAATGATATAAAATGTAGCCTAAAAAGGAACTATGTTCAAAAAACATAGTTCCTGGAGTTAGGTGCCCAAATATATTCAGAGATTTTATCATTAAAGCAATCCATTTTACATACCTGCCTTCTGAACCACTAAGAAATGCATGCATCACAAGCATAGCTCTCTTTAAATATCTTTTAAATAACAGTATTTTGATGTGGGATTTTGTATGCATTGCTTTTTTTTTTTAGATGCAAAAACCAAATGCATGTTCACTGGAACAGGCTGCCCAGGGAGGTTGTAGAGTCTCCATCTTTGGAGATGTTCAGGACTTGCCTGGATGCCTACTTGTGTGATCTGGTGTAGGGAACCTGCT